ATGCAAAATTAGTACACAGAAATCCCTTGTATCCCTATATAATAACAATGAAAACTCAAAAGAGAAATTAAGGAAACAATCCCATTCAACATTGCAACGAAATGAATAAAAATACCTAGGAATAAGCTTACTTAAGGAGACGAAAGACCTGTATGCAGAAGACTAGAAGACAATGATCAAAGAAATAAAAAACAACACAAATAGATTGAGAGATATAACATGTTCTTGGATTGCTGCTGCTAAGTCGCTTCAATCGTGTCCAACTCTGTGCGACCCCATAGATGCCAGCCCACCAGGCTCCTCTGTCCCTGGGATTCTCCAGGCAAGAATACTGGAGTGGGTTGCCATTTCCTTCTCCAATGCATGCATGCATGCTAAGTCGTTTCAGTCGTATCTGACTCTGTGCAACCCCATAGATGGCAGCCCACCAGGCTCCTCTGTCCACAGGATTCTCCAGGCAAGAATACTGGAGTGGGTTGCCATTTCCTTCTCCAGTTCTTAGATTGGAAGAATCAATATTGTAAAAATGACTATACTACCCAAAGTAATCTACAGATTCAGTGCAATCCCTATCAAATTACCAATGGCATTTTTCATAGAACTAGAACAAAAAATTTTACAATTTGTATGAAAACACAAAAGACCCTGAATAGCCAAAGCAATCTTGAGAAAGAAAATGAAGCTAGAGCAATCAACCATCCTGACTTCAGACTACAAAGCTAGTCATCAAGACAGTATGGCACTGGCACAAAAACAGAACTATAGATCAATGGAGCAAGATAGAAAGCCCAGAGATAAACCCACATACCTCATCTTACGGGCACCTTATCTTTGACAAAGGAGATAAGAATATACAACGGAGAAAAGAAAACTTCTTCAATAAGCCATGAAAACTGGACAGCTACATGTAAAAAAATGAAATTAGAACACTTCCTAGCACCATACACAAAGATAAACTCAAAATGGATTAAAGACCTAAGTGTAATCCAGAAACTACAAAACTCTTAGAGGAAAACATAGGCAGAATATTCTATGACATAGATCACAAGATCCTTTATGATCCATCTCCTAGACTAAAGAAAATAAAAACAAAAATAAACAAGTGGGACCTAATTAAACTTGAAAGCTTTTGCACAGCAAAGAAAATTATAAACAAGGTGAAAAGACAGCACTCAGAATGGGAGGAAATACATGCATACATGCATGCTAAGTCGCTGCAGTCCTGTCCGACTCTGTGCAACCCCATAGATGGCAGCCCACCAGGCTCTGCCATCCCTGGGACTCTCCAGGCAAGAATACTGGAGTGGGTTGCCATTTCCTTCTCCAATAATGGCCAATGAAATAACAAAGGATTGATTTCCAAAATATACAAGTAGCTCATGCAACTCAATACCAGTAAAACAAACAACCCAATCAAAAAGTGGGCAGAAGACCTAAACAGACATCTCTCCAAAGACATATAGATGGATAATAAACATGAAAAGATACTCAACATGCTATTTATTTATTAGAGAAATACAAATCAAAACTACAATGAGATATCACCTCACAACAGTCAGAATGAGCATTATCAAAAAAAAAATCTACAAACAATAAATGCTGGAGAGAGTGTGGAGAAAAGGGAATCCTCTTGCACTGTTGCTGGAAATGGACAGCCACTATGGAAGACAGGTATGGAGATTCCTTAACAAACTATGAATAAAACTACTGTATGATTCAACAATCCCTCTGTGGGTTATATACCCTGAGAAAATCATAAGTGAAAAAGACACATGTATCCCAATGTTCATTGTAGCACTATTTAAGATAGTTAAGACATGGAAGCAACCTAGATGTCCATCAACAGATGAACGGATAAAGAAGTTGTGGTACACATATACAACAGAATAGTACTCAGTCATAAAAAGTAATGAATGTGAGTCAGCTGAAAGGTGGATGGACCTAGAGCCTGTTACAATACAGAGTGAAGTAAGTCAGAAAGAGAAAAGCAAGTATCATGTATGAATGAATATATCTGAAACTAGGAAAATGGTACTGATGAACCTATTTGTAGGGCAGGAATGGAGATGCAGACAGAGAGAGGGGACTTGTGGACCCAGCAGGGAAAGGAGAGGGTGGGACAAATTGAGGGAGTAGCATTGAAACGTGTATATTACCATATGTAAAATAGATAGCTATCGTCCTTGTATAACCCAGGAAGCTCAGCCAGGGACTTTGTGACAATCTAGAGGAGTGGGTTGGGGGGTAGGAGAGAGGGAATATATGTATACTTATGGCAGATTCACAATGTTGTATGGCAGAAACAAGTACAACATTGTAAAGCAATTATCCTCCAATTAAAAAATAAATTTAAAAATCATTTCTGAAAAATGGACAAAAGGGGGTCGAGAGAGGGGAACAAAGATGGGTGCATGGGTTATACACGGAAAATGTCCCCTTTCCTCTCTCCTCCTCTTTTATACCTTTCATCCCATGTTTTTAAATATTTTTACCTGAAAACTTGCATGAATAAGGAAATAATTATCTTCCCCATTTTGATGATTAAAGACCTCCAAACACCAAATTAATATAATTCCTAGTGAAAATAGAAGAAACTTAACCTTTTGTTTACCAGTGCAGTCCCTTGACTATTTGAGGATCATGTTTTTCATTCCTTCTCCCAGAATCTAGCCTGGAAAAACTAAAAAACTCAATGCCCTCCAGCCCATGTAAGGACAGAGGGCCCAGTCAGGCACCTAACTCAGAAACTTTAAGGAAACACTACCCGGGATAGTTCTCTTGGAAAATTGAGGAATCACTGAGTTACATTCATTCTTTCTCAACAGTGATTTTCGGAAGCTCTTCTCCTAACAGCAGAACACTGGCTTTTCATGTGACCAGAGCAGAAGTTGGATTATGAGCTAAAAGGAGGGGAAAGGCCAAGAAAGGGGTAACTTAGAACAAAAAAGAAAGATGGCAAGCTTGACAATTTGCTAAGGATTGATCCTGATAATGACACTGGATCAAGAATTGGAGTGCTTTAGGTCTATGGGAGAATTGGGGAAATTCACCTCAATCAAAAAGACAGACACAAGGACCATGAGGCAGACAATTTACACACACACACACACAATCCAAATGACCAATAAAACACATGAAAATATTCAACCCCACCATTAACCAAAGAGAGAACATTGAAAAGCCCTTTTTCCTATCCAATTGGGAAACGAATCACTATTTCCAGCTGTTGGAGGGATGAGTTGACTGGGTGCTCTTCACAGCTGGTGGGACTGTGAACCGATGGGTCCTTTGTAGGACACTTCGGGAATGCCCATCAAAAGTCTTCACCATATGTACTCTATTTGACCTAGAAATTCCACTTAGGAAATGATCTTAAAGAATAATTTATCTGTGGCAAGACTTAGATGTACTCTTTATAACAGTATTCTTCATAATAACAAAAAATCTAGAGGGGAAAGACAATATAAATATCCAACTATAAAGTATTCAATGAATAAATGACGGTATGTATCTCCCTACACCAAAATGCTACACAGCCATTATATGTAGGGGGATTGAGTGACATTTAATGGCTTAGAAATAAACATGCTCTAAAACAGGGGGTGTTGTACCAGCACATCCTCTCAAATTATATACACTGAAAAGACCAGAAATAAGTGCTCAAAAATGTCACCAGTGATATTTATAGGGATTATAGGTATTCTTTTTTTTTTGTATGTCTATATTTTCTAAATTTTCTGCAATGATCAAATTTTTATTTTGTAATAAAAGATGGATAACATATCTTTTTTAAAAAAAGAATCAAAGTTGCAAGTTACTATGATGAGAGCTACACAGGAAGAGGGCAAGTTTTCAAGCTGGGAGATCATCACTAGAATAACAGATATGTTTACGTGCCCAGCTGAGTTGCAAGCGCCGGTGGCACTTGGAAACCACGGGGACATGCTGGAGGGAGGAGTGTGTTAGCCTTCTGCGGTTCTACTGAGTGACCGTGGGAAAGCCACTTCTGTTTCCTTGGCCACCAAGTTCCTTTTCTCTCTGGTGGCCCTTGACTCTATGTAGGCAGGATACTATGATGATGGTACCCACATGTGAGGTCTCCTTTAGGCAGGATACTATGATGATGGTACCCACATGTGAGGTCTCCTTTTTTGAAAAGGAGGACATATATATATCAATGATGGAGTTGGGGGGGGGGGTCAGGATTTTAGGAGACAAAGGGATGATAAAATAGGACAGAGAATACAGATGTGTTTTTACACGCTTTGTTTCCCTGCCTCTCATTGTTCCTGCAGAGCTAAAACGACTGAATTAACTCTTTGGGCCAGAAATGCATTTGACATAAGTTGCTTCACTCCTCATAAAACCAGAAGGAGTTGGGGAACTCTGGAAGCGGCAGGCTGTGATCCAGATCCATCATGCCCTGGCTGGAACTCACCTTCCTCAAGTGTCAGAAGAAAAACTATGGAATAAGAAGCCAGGGAGAGCTGCTTTTGAACTCAGAGGGAACTTCGCATAGGTAGTAGCTGATCATAACTCGGTAAAGAATCTGCCTGCAATGCAGGAGACCTGGGTTTGATTCCTGGGTCAAGAAGATCCCCTGGAGGAGGAAACGGCAACCCACTCCAGTATTCTTGCCTGGAAAATCCCATGGACAGAGGAGCCTAGTGGGCTATAGTCCACAGGGTTGCAAGAGTCAGACACGTATTAGCGACTAAACAAACCACCAAGACCAAGAAAACACAGGCTATGCTCAGGGCTGTGCCTGTTCCTCCACCATGCCTTCAGGGCCTCCTGCATCTTCCGCTTTTGTGAGCCCCCAGAACTTGCTCTCGAAAAGGTCACAAGGAAGTGCTGGGGCCTCACCTGTGCCCCAGTCAACAGGAAGACCCTGGAGAGGTGGCAAGGAGCTATGGGGCTGCCCAGAGTAAGGCAGAAGCCTGGGCGAGCCCAGCGCAGGCAGGGAGGGATGGCAGGCAAGTCAGCCTCTGGACACTGACCTCGCGGCACGTCCATGGGGTTGAAGCTGGCCAGCAGGTCACGACACCACTGGCGATCACCCTCCACTTTGCTCAGCCAGTTGTTGCAGTTGAAGTAGTAACGGAGGTGAGGCCGCTTCATGTCGGTCACGATCACACGGTCCAGGTACCAGCTGGCGTTCAAGCCTGTGTTGTCATGCTCGATCCTGGGCCAGAGGCAGACACCCACACCATCAGTGATAAGACAGAGACAATGCCCCTTCCATACTGACACACCCCCCATGTTTTCTCAGAACAGAGGCTCAACTGTTGTGATTCTGTTATTTCTTTATCTCTGAGGCTTCAGTTTCCCCATCTGAAAAACGGGGATTCCTTGCAAGGTGGATGTGCTTATTGATGAATGTGGATTGCTACATTGCCCATAAAGGAAATATTGCCTTCCATGGAAAATTGAGGATCACCAAGGCTTGCAGAAGGACTGGTCTGGAGCTTTCCCTCTCACCGTGACTCCCAAAACACACCCTTCGCTCAGCTACTCAGTCCTACCACCCAGAGGAGCCCCCATGGCCACATAGACTGGTGTTTCCCCACATGAGCTTCATGCGCAAGCCAGATAGGTAATTTAGATTTTTTTAGTAGCCACACTGCAAACAAAGGGGAGGTGAAATTAATTTTAATATTTCATTTAATCCATTTATCATTTCAGTGGGTAACCGTGTAAACATTTATTAATGAGATATCTTACATTCTTTGTCTTGCACGAGCTTTTCAAAGATCTGAAGTGTTTTTGCACCTGGTTTGGGTTAGGCATGTTTTAAGTAATCAATACTACATGGGGCCAGGGGCTACTGTAGAGATCCAGAATGTTCAAAATCTGGCCCCTATCATCTTCCACTTCCTGTAGTCCGCTCCATCCTTGGCAGTCTAGGTTTCCTCTTTGAGGCTCAGTTTCTTCCCCAGAACTTGATCCTTGGGTGACCTCACTCTGCACCAAGCATTCCATTACAGTCAGGCCTTACACTTGCAGATCTTAACAGGACAACCACAGCTCAAGACAGCACACACCCCAACAGATGGTGTATGTGTGTGTGTGTGTGTGTGTGCACGCTCAGTCACTAAATCGTGTCTGACTCTTTGTGACCCCATGGACTATAGCCTGCCAGGTTCCCCTGTCCATGGGACTCTCCAGGCAAGAACATTGGAAGGGGTTGCCATGCCCTCCTCCAGGGGATCTACCTGACCCAGGGATCGAACTTGTGTCTCCTGTGTCTCCTACATTGGCAAGTGGGTTCTTTACCACTAGTGCCACCTGGAAAGCCCCTAACACACATGATATACACAGAGTGTGTGCCTCTGTCTGGTACGGAGCCCAGCACACAGTAGGACTTCAGCTTAGTGATTGTCTTTCCCACACGCTGACAGTCTTCCCAGCCTTCCCCTGTAAGAACCCCTTTCCTGCTCATAACCCCTTTCCCCTGACACAACCAGTGCCAGAACCTATTATACATCCCTTATTTTCCCAGTAAAAAGAGTTCACGGTCCTATATTTCCCAGTGGGGAGAAGAAAAACAAGGAGTGATAGGAGCATTTCACTCCTGTCCAGGCCTTCTAGTCTGAGTACAGTCAGACCATACATGATCTTGACATGCTGACAGATGGGCATGAACTTGATTGGGGATGGGTAGTAGATGGAGGGGGGCAAAAGGGGGCAATTGAAGCTCTTGCTCAGCAACCAGGCTGGCAGACTTATCCCTCCCCACACATTCATAAAAATTCCCCCAGAGAACAAAGTCAGGGGAGATCGCTGTCAAAAGGCACCCTGCAATATGACCTGGCATTGCTAACATTCACTGGGTGCTTACTGTGTACCAGTTACTGTTCTAAACACCGACTCTTGAGTCCTCACTAACCCTAATGGTGCCCTAGGAGCTGGGCACCATTATTATAGATGCTGAAACTGAAGCTTGGAGAGGAAATCTCCCTGAAGTTCCACAGCTGGTAAATGGCAGGGCAGAAATTTGAACCAAGGCAATCTGGATGCAGAGTCTACTAACCACTGTGCTAGAATTTCTCAGAGCTTATTTCCCCCAAGTGTGTGAAAAATTGTCTCAGGTTGTCTTAACCCAAAGAAGTGAATCTCTAATGGGCAAGTTTACAAGCATCATGACTCAGGGTGAGAGGGGAAGATGTGGTCACCTTTGGTCACCACTCAGATGACCCCAGGAAAGCAGTCAACACCCAAAAGTGTCAATAATGAAAGCAGTTCCTTTTCTACTTGGCTTCATCTCACCCCGCCCTGTCAGAGGCCAGCTCTCACCTGATTTTGTAGATGAGGCCCACGTTGTTGGTTCTTACTCGGAACACATCAACGTTGGCTTTCTCAAAGGCAGATTCACTCCTGCAATGGTGTGACAGTTAACAGAGATCAGCATGTGGCTCAGAGTCCCCGGAGGAGAGCCAAGGGCTGGCATATCCTACTTCCTCCACCGTCCCACTCCAGGAGGTGCTACTGGCAGTCAATTCCATTCTGAGATTCCTTTCTGACATGGTTTGGAGAGGTGGAAGGCAAGGATGGTTAGTATTCATTCCTTGCTTTCACACCCAGGTTCTCGTGGGATCTTTGCTGCGTGTCAGTAAGGCAAGGATGGCGAGCAACTTTAGCCCCATTTCACAAACAAGTAAATTGCTAGTTGGTTGTAGAGCTGGGACCAGAAACTGGCTTTCCAAAGTCATGATCCAGTCCTCTGTGGTTGCTCTGGGCTGGGAGAATGGAGGAGGAAGGAATGTGTGATAATGCCATGGTGCTCTTGGATCTGCAGGCCTCCTGGCCCCTCCTCCCCACCTGCCTTGCTCTTGCTGAAACAGTTGCAAAGGCAGCCCCAAGTGGATGCAAACCTTGGGTGGTGGTCCACAGTCCTGCTATTCCAACAAGAAAGGAAACACTCGACCCAAACCAGCAATCAGGGAAGTGGAGGCAATGAGGGAGTGCATATTTGGCATCCTGCAGACGGTGCAAACAGAAGCAAGTACACCTGAGATGTTTCTCAATGAGGTGCCCAAACAAGTTCAGACTTGGGAGCATCCTATCATCCATCAGCTTAGACACAGGAAGGCTGGAGAACCGAGTCCTCCAGGAGTGGAAGCCAGAATCTCACGTGGACATCTGCTCTGTCTTCTGTGTGGGCCAGGACTTCCTCTGCTTGAGTCCAGGCCTGCTCGCAGCTCTTCCTGCCCCCAGGGTGAAGGCCTTGCAGGACCGAGAGCTGTGGACCTCCCTCAGTGCTCCCAGCCAGGGCTCTCAGCATCAGCACACAGCCCATGGGAAATGAAAAATAAGGAAGACATGCCTTTTTATTGGCCATCAGCTGTTTCAAAATAAAAAGGGAGGTGAAGGGCCTTCTCCCCAAGGCAACAAGGCTCAGACTCTCTCAGTAACCAAAGGCTTTTAAGATTCTAGAGACAAAGAAGCTGTGGCTCTGCACACAGACCCAGTTGGCAAAGTCTGGTCTGGGGAGAAACTTCCTTTCGGTGGGCACATTGTGAGACACGGGGCCCTCCTAAAGCAGTGCAAAGGTCACAAAATCAGGTGAAAATGTACACCGAGGTCACCTTGTCAGGGAGAAGAGCCCAAGGGGTTTACTCTGGGCACGGGGCCGGAGGAGGAGAGACAGGTGGGAACTTTGGGTTGTGCTGGAGTGAAATGGTTTGTCCCCAGGCTGGCAGCTTGAACCTGTTAGAATCTCACCTCCAAGGGTGAATAGTAACACCACCCGCATTCTGTGAATATTGATTCTGGGCATCAGGACTGTGTGAATGAAAAACAAGGAAATAAGAGGTATTTTCTGTTTCAGTATATGAGACAAGGAAATTGATTTTTGGAATAGACAGGAGTCTCTACATCATATAAATATCCCATGAAACAGTCACCCAGGAAGCTATATGATGGAATATTAGGCAGCCATCAAAAATTCTATTGTGAAAAATATTTAATGAAGCAGAAACAGGTTTATGAAATGGGCATAAAAGGAAGAACAGGTTAAAAATAGAATGTACAAACGGAACAACCAATACATAAGGAACACCAAGTTAATTTAAAAACAATAGAGGGGGAGGATTTATCCAAAAACATTGCATGATAAGACTGTTATGAAGTGTTGGTTACTTATTCTTGTCTGTATTTTTTTCAGTTTCCCGAAGGGAGCACGTCTTGTTTTTGCAATTATGAAAAAAGCACAGTCCCTATTTTAGCTGCCCATGGTAAATTCTTTGGAATGAATTTGAAGATCGCCGAGTGTCATCTGCTAAGGGTACATGGAATTTGGGGAACAACCAGTGCCAGTTAGCAGGGGAAGAGGAGGGTGATTTGGAAAGAAAGCGGCTGGCTTTCCGGGGTGCTTCTCACAAGTGTTCTGGCTCCAGCAGCTGCATCCAGCACAGAGAGCTCTGCGTCTTCAGAAAGGGCCTGTGCATACAACCAGGTGGAAGGTGGATTCATACTTTTCCAGCGTGTTTGTACTTTTCCTTGCTGCTTTACAGTCGCTCAAAAGACAAAATTTAAAAATGGAGACAGAAGAAGGGAAACAAGGAGAGAAAGATCTGCTGAGGTGGGCAGAGGGCACCCTCCTCACTGTCTCTGGACCACACTGGAGCATCTAGGGCATGGCAGGATGTGACGCAATCACCCACAGTGTTTACAGAACGGAGACCAGCATCCTGGCAGACAAGAGCAAGGCCTTCTGGGGAATTCCCTGGCTGTTCGGCGGTTGCAACTCTGCACTTCAGGGCCTGGGTTCAATCCCTGGTTAAGGAACTAAGATTTTGCAAGCCATACAGTGCAGCCAAGAAGAAAAGGGAAAAAAAAAAGAGCAAGGCCTTCTGTATTGCTGGGGTCTCTGTTCAGAGGAGGGGGAACAGAGGATTGTAGAGACTGGGCTACATGGACTCCCTTCTCTCAGGGAGGGGCCAGGACAATCCCAGATGAGCCCCAACCCCAAACCACTCTGAGTCAGACTCCAAATCCCCTGCTTCCAGTAAGTCAGAAATCTGACTGAAGGTGGAGGGGAGACAGCAAAGGACAGAGGGTCCCTGGTCAAAGGAAACATCAGAAACAATAGAGACCTCTTCACATTTCCTTGCGGGAGATGGCATGTTCTCCACAGTTGCTGGTCGATCCTCAAATAAAGCCCAACACAGCCCCCCACCTGCGCCTGCTGTCCTGCAGGGAACCCACCCTTTCCAGCCGCGCACAGGGCATTTTAGCTAACTGCCAGGCAGGCTAAGATGCCAGGATTCTCCCACACTCTCAGGTGGTGAATTCTCAGCAAAGAGAACCGTGTTCCAGAAGATACATGAGATTTCCATCCTTTTGCCGTAGCCTGAACATGGGACCCCATGCTGGGGGGTGGTCCTGGGTGACGGAGAAGGGGGCTTCTTCTGGGGTCCAGAGCCGCTGTCACTTTCCTGGTGTGGAGGGTGGGGCAGAGGTCAGCTAGCAGGGGAATCAGAGTGAGCGTGTCACACTCTTGGCTGCCTAAGAGAGGGTCTGATGTGTGCCGAGGAATTTAGACCCCAGACCATGAGGGTGAGAACAATCAGCATGTTAACAATAGACAGCAAAGTTCTTCCTGCCGCAGGAATTACTTTGTACTGGAGATGAAAAAATCCTGATAAACCACAGGACAGTAGAAGGTAAGGCCTGGGGCAGAGGAGAAAAGCCACAGAAAAGAGCAGAACTGAGGGGAGAGAGAAGGGGATGAGGGATGCGGCCAGAGGCTGCAGAGAAAGGGTTCAGGGAGAAATTCCAGGAAGGGTGGTGGCTTAGTTTTAAAACTGGGAGGAGGGTCTATCTAACGTTCTGTTTTAAGTTGTTTATGTTCCCTCCATGTGAACTCTTATGCCCCAAACTATCAGTGAAGTCTGGGCACCCCAAGATGCCTTGTGAAGTGAAAGTGGCTCAGTCATGTCCGACCCTTTGCGACCCCATGGACTATACAGTCCACGGAATTCTCCAGGCCAGAATACTGGAGTGGGTAGCCCTTCCCTTCTCCAGGGGATCTTCCTGACCCAGGAATCGAACCGGTGTCTCCTGCACTGTAGGCGGATTCTTAACCAACCGAGCTATCAGGGAAGCTTTGTACTTTGTCTGTATGTGCGCACGTGCATATGTGTGTACGTATGTGTGTGTGCTTGTCGGTGTAAAACAAGGAAAAAGAGCTCAGTTCTAGGTGACAAGTGGGTGTGGATGTGGGTTTGGGGTGACACAGTGTGGAGAGGAGAGGATAGCCTTAGACAGTGAGAGGAGACAGTTTTGAGACCAGCAGGCATTCTGATCCAGACCCTAGCGATGGTAGAAGGGGAGGGCCGAGCCGGGAGGGACTTAGCTGCATCTAAACCTCGCAGAGCTTGTGACTTCTGCAGCCACCCGCTTCTGGGTCACTTGGCAACCTGGACTTCCTCGGAAAGCAACGCTCCCACCCGGACTTGAGCTCTCCATCTTGAATCAGAAGGGTTTAGGATGGTGAGGATTGTGTCTATGCAATTTTCTTTGTAGACAGGTTTTCAGGGTCTTGCAAACTCTGAAAGCAGCCTTGCAAAGCAGCCAGACTCTGGTCTCCTACTTCCCCGTTTATCCTGCTCACTATGGTCAGATTCATCCTTCTTGGCTACACAGTACGTCAAATCTCCACTAATTGAATTTCAGGCAAGGCCTTCTCCCGTCTACTCCTCCCCTGCCTTTCCTACCTCCTTCCTCTCTGCCCCTCCATGCAGTTCCCATTGGCCTGCAGTTCTCCTTGTGGCCTCCATACTTCTGCAAGCTGTCCCCCCTCATCTAAAGTATCCTCTTTCTGATCCTTTTTCATCAGAGTCCTTTTCACCCCTCGAGGTCAGATTACGTGTCCTTCCCTATAAAGTCCTAATCTAGCCACACTGATACCAAATCATCGAGGGAGCTCTCTTTGCAAAGAACTGCGATAGATGCTGGAGGTACAAGGCAGATCTCCCATCATCCTCCGGTTCCAGCTAGCATCCCTCTAGGCATCACCTCTCTAGCCTCTCCAAAGACAAACAGCTGATGCTGCAAAAAGTGTCTGTATCCCAGAAACCACCCACTTCCTGTGAGCTCCTGAAGAACCCTCTGCCCCAGCCAGGTTGGGGTCCTGGTCTAATCTCTGCCCCCAATGCCCAGCCTGGAGCAGGACACAGATACAGGAGAGAACCACCCCCACCAGCAGACCCACGTAGTAATGGGGGGACGTTGCTTCCTACGTGCAGGGCTATCCCAGAAAAGCTGGCTGCTTTCCTGCAGTTTCAGCACTGCTTTGAGACCTGCTGGTCCTGCCGGCTTGCTGCTACCCGAGACCCTCTCCCATGATGCAGTCTGCCTTCCCCATTGAGAAGCAAGGCTGGAACTCAGATTCCCAGGGAGAGGGTGACAAACCTTCACACAGCTATAAAAGCTGACTCCAGGGACCTTCCTGAGAGGGCTTTTTGACAAAGGAAAAATGTGAGAGGGGAGAGTCTAAGGATGCAGAAGCATGAAAGGAGGAAAGATGGTGAGGAACCGCCACAAAAGGGGGCTGATTCTCTTTGTTTAGAAAAAGACAGGCTGGGGACTCTAGAAGCCAAGATAGCCCACTCCCCAGGGTCCAGCAGCTTCTCCCTAGAGGTCTGCGTTCTGGGTGGACACGTGGCAGAAAGGATGGAATTTTCATGTATTCTCTTTACCGTGCCCACAGCACTGGAGCAAAGGGCTTCCACAAGCGAGCCACTCAGCAGGGTAAGCAGTACAAGGAGGCGGGTACCCTGTTCTGCGGAAATGGACAAAATAGCACGTTACTCCTGCCTCGACACAGTCACATTTACACCCAGGTCAGCCTTCAGGGTGAACGTGTTCTGCTGGACCTGGCCGGTCTGCTAAGTACAGAGTCTATGGATCTCCTGGCCTGTGGACCCCACCCTTCTATCGCTTTCCCCACCACACCTGGAGGTGTGGCGCTACGAAGCCCAGAGATCACACGCTGGAGCCCCAGGAGGACTGCGGGGGGAGACTCCCGCACACTCTCCAGGGCCACGGGGTCATGTGCTTGAGGGAATATCTGCATCAGGACCCTGGGGTTCAAGGACCAGCTTTACCATCAAAAGCTCCATGATCCAAAGCTGCTCACCTCTCTCCTCTAGGCCCCAGATTTCCCAGGAGCAGGGTGGAATGGATTTAGTGACTTTCAAATCTTTCTTGGCTATAGCATCCTTGGTGCAAATAGAATCTGACTGAGAAACTCAGCAGATAAGAGAATCATAAGCCAAGCTGCTCCAAAGAAAGGGGGGATAGGGTATTGGGAGCCCCAAACCAGCTCACCCATACCCTGCTCCATTTAGCACAGGGTGAAAACCAATTGCCCAGGTAAGGCCCAGCCATCTCTGGAATTCCATGATTGCACTCTAGTGTTACCGTGTGTAGTAACCCTGTGTGCCCCTGCGTGATGTGGGGAGAGGAGGGAAAAGAAGATACAGCAGTCTCTGCTGTCAGTGGGCCACAATGACATGGAGGACACAGGCACACTCACACACACACACACACACACACACATTTATATAAACACACGCACTGACTTGAGTGTGCGTTAGTGGGCAAGGTTTGGTATGATATTGGTCCTGGTTGAGACATAGGTGCAGAGCATTTAAGCTCATGCATGACCTTCTCTTCTCTTCCCAAAAGTCCTTTGAGTTTGGTAAAAGGTGGATTATCACTTCTGGATGCTATATGAGGAAGTCAAGGCTTTGGGTGCAAACATATTTAGCCAAAGTTATATGGCAACTAAATGGTAAAGCTGGACCTAGACCTTCTTTCTTGGTCCTGAGTATTTATTCTCCCACACCAAAGGACAGCTGATATGAATACTTGTAATTCTGGGGTCCAAAGTAAGCATGACTATACACACAAAAATCAACAGAGAAGCTTCCCTGGTTGAGACCTGGCTGGCATGTGGTCTGTCATTAGCAAGGTCCACGCCACTTCATATACCTGTGGACACATGTGTCTTCCTTCATGGGTTCCAGGACTGCATCAACCCCCAGTACCAACCCAGGACCCCACCAAGGCTTAGTCAGTACTCACTTGCTGGTGAGATGGAGCTTGGGAGAGAGCCCGTTCTCTCCAAAAATGGAGATGAAGACATTGGCGTCTGTTCCTGCACCACGAACATCCCCTGTGGCTGTGACCACCTCGTACACTGGAGGAGGAAAGGAGAAGTTGGGGGTAGGCTCAGAAGAGAACCCTGAATCCTACTTGGGCTCAGAGAAGCCTGGATCCTGCTAACTCCACCAGGGATACCCAGCACAGAGGACTCTCGGAACACTTGCTGCAACCCCCGAGACTCTAAGCCAGGGTCGGACCCACATCAAATCCTGCCATGAAACCACAGTCTCCCACTTGATGCTGCATGCTCATTTTAGGCGAGGAACCTGCAGACAAAGGGACAAGCCCCGGTCACACACTACACAATGCCAACACCAGAGCCCAGCTCCAGGCTCCCAACGGCCATCTGTGATCTTTCCAGGACAGTACATGGATGCCCTCCTAGCCAAGATCTTCTTCAGAGCCTGCCCCTGATTCTCACCTTCCTCTCTGCCCTCTGCACAGGGCTGCCTTGCAGTCCTCACTTCCTGGGACCCCCTGGGCATTGCCATGGCGATCTCAGGCTAACCCTTGCTAGGGATGGGGGAAGCAGAATTGCCAGTGAGTCCCTTTAGGCAGAGGCACTAATGTTGCCTCTCTTTGTGCCCTTGAAGCTCGTTCTCTTTGCTGTTGATGTGGTTTCCTTTGATGTTCCTGGTTCTGATGAAAGTCCCCGTGATGGGGAGAAAGGAAGCAGTACATTTGTGTGACTCCCTGTCGTTTGTGATAACCAAAGTCTTCACTCTTCACAGTCTACACCACAGGGATTTCTGATCTGCAAACGTCTCCTAGACCCCTCCCGAGATAACTCCAGGACCTGAAGTGTTGCCCGTATGGTTTGCACTTATGAAAGGATGTTTTCAAACTGAGTCAATAGGAAAATGAGGAGCACAGTGGAAATTCTAAAACCACACCTCATGAGAGACGACGTAAAGGCCTCAAGTTGCCTGGTTTAAAGAAAGGAGCACAGCCCAAAATAAATAAATAAGTAAAAATAAGCAAGTAAAATAAATAAGCAAATAAAAATTTCAAAAACATAAAAAATTAAGACCATCATGAAGATGAAAAGGCAAGCCACAGACTAGAAGATATTTGGAATCCACACACGGGCATGCCACCATAATACCTTGTTTTTATCATAATTTGCTTTATTGTGCTTTACAGATATTTTGTCCCTTACAAATGGAAGCTTTGTGGCAACCCTGTGTCAAGCAAGTCTGTTGGCACCATTTTCCCAACAGTATTTGCTCACTCTCGTCTCTGTGTCACATTTTGGTAATTCTCAAAATATTTCAAACTTTTTCATTATTATTATATTTGTTATGATAATCTATGATCAGTAATCTCTGATGTTACTATTGCAAAAAGATTATGACTTGCCAAAGACTCAGTTGATGGCTAGCAATTTTTTTTAGAAAAATGTATTTCTAAACTAAGGTATGTTCACTTTTTTTAGACATAACGTTATTGTACACTTAACAGACTATATAGTGGTAAATGTAACTTATAGGCACTAGGAAACCAAAAACTTGGTGTGACTTGTTTTACTGTGATATTTGCTTCATTGCTGGCTCTGAAATCAAATCCACAATATCTCTGAAGTCTACCTGTAGCCAACAAAGAATAGATGTTCAGAAGATGTAAAGAATTACACAAATTAATAAGAAAAAGAAAGACCACACGATTGTTCTAATGGGCAACAATTCATTTTAAAAGTAAACATACACTTACCATAAGACCCAGAAATTCAACGTTTAGATATTTACCCAAGAGAAATAAGAACATGTCCATACAAAGACCTGCACACATATGTTCACAACAACTATATGCATGATAACCCTAAACTACAAACAACCTAAATGCATCAAAAAGTGAATGGATTTTTTAAAATGTGGTATATCTCTACAGTGAAATCCTACTCTGTGATAGTAATAAAAAAGAATGAACAACTGACATGCAATGCCGATGAATCTCAAGCACATAATGCTGAGCAAAAGAAATCAGACAAAAATTACTACACAGTAAGTAATGACAGTTAGGTGAACTCTAATCTTTTCTAACAGAAAGCAGATCTTGGTTGTCTAGGGTTGAAGTTAGGGGGAATTCCCTGGGAAGGGGTACATGGAACTTTTGTAGGATCATTTAAATACCCTGTATATGAATGTTGCAAGAGGTTACAAGGATGTATATATTTGTCAATATGCATCAAACAACACACGTAAAGTATATTCATTTTATTGTTAATTACGTCTCAATCAAGTTGAACATGGAACAACAGACTGGTTCCAAATAGGAAAAGGAATACGTCAAGGCTGTATATTGTCACCCTGCTTATTTAACTTAAATGCAGAGTACATCATGAGAAATGCTGGGCTGGAGGAAGCACAAGCTGGAATCAAGATTGCTGGGAGAAATATCAATAACCTCAGATATGCAGATGACACCACCCTTATGGCAGAAAGTGAAGAGGAACTAAAAACCCTCTTGATGAAAGTGAAAGAGGAGAGTGAAAAAGTTGGTTTAAAGCTCAACATTCAGAAAACTAAGATCATGGCATCTGGTCCCATCACTTCATGGCAAATAGATGGGGAAACAGTGGAAACAGTGGCTGACTATTTTTCTGGGCTCCAAAATCACTGCAGATAATGATTGAAGCCATGAAACTAAAAGATACTTATTCCTTGAAAGGAAATTTATGACCAACCTAGACAGCATATTAAAACGCAGACACATTACTTTGCCAACAAAGGTCCATCTGGTCAAGGCTATAGCTTTTCCAATGGTCATGTATGGATGTGAGAGTTGGACTCTAAAGAAAGCTGAGAACCAAAGAATTGATGTTTTTGAACTGTGGTGTTGGAGGCAACTCTTGAGAGTCCCTTGGACTGCAAGGAGATCCAACCAGTCCATCTTAAAGGAGATCAGTCCTGGGTGTTCATTGGAAAGACTGATGCTGAAGCTTGAAACTCCAACACTTTGGCCACCTGATGTGAAGAGCTGACTCATTTGAAAAGACTCTGATGCTGGGAAAGATTGAGGGCAGGAGGAGAAGGGGATGACAGGGGATGAGATGGTTGGATAGCATCACCGACTCGATGGACATGGGTTTGGGTGAACTCTGGGAGTTGGTGATGGACAGGGAGGCCTGGCGTGCTGCCATTCGTGGGATCACAAAGAGTCGGACACGACTCAGCGACTAAACTGAACTGAACTGAACAAGTTGAAAAATGTACAAAATACTTAAATAGGCATGTCATAAATGAGGATATTCAAATGGAAAAAAACTCAATGTCATTATTCATAAGAGAAATGCAAATTAAAATGTAATAAGACACTACCATATATGCACCAGAATGCCTAAAATTAAAAGGATGGACAAATACTCAGTATTTTCAAGAATGTGGAGCCATTGGCAGTCTCATCATTACTGGTGGTGGTGGTAGTTTAATCACTCAGTTTTGTCCAACTCTTGCAACCCCATGGACTAGAGCCCTCCAGGCTCCTCTGTCCATGGGATTTTCCAGGCAAGAATACTGGAGTGGGCTGCCCTTTCAGCATATCTTCCTGACCCAGGAATCGAAACTGGGTCTGCTGCATTGCAGGCAATCTCCTGCATTGTAAGCGATTCTTTACCACTAGGCCACCAGGGAAGCCCTATACATTGCTGCTGAGAGTGTAAATTGGTACAAGCCCTGGTAACTAAACATAAGCCCACCTTATGACTCAGTGATTCTACTTCCAGTTATAAATCCAAGATAAATGAGTGCATGTGTTCATCTAAAGATATGTACAAGATCTGTAGCATCTTTATCCATAATAACTGAAATAACGCCGAAGTCCATCAACAATAGAATGGTTAAACAAAGGGTGATATATTTATAAAATGCAATAATACACAAATAATAAAAACGAACAAACTATGTAACAAGTCACAAATAGGTAAATCTCTTGGATATAATGTTGAGTGAAAGAGAAGTTAGACACACAAAAATGTGTTATATAATTCCATTTATATGAAGTTCAAGAGCAAAAAACTAAAGAATGGTGATAGAATTAGGAGGGCTATTACCTCTGAGAAGGAGAGTGAAGGAACTTTCTGGAGGTTAGAAATGTTCCATGTCCTGTTCTGAATGGTGGTTACACAAGCATGCACATTTGTAAAAATTCAACATGCTTTACCTTTATGAGTTTTGTGCTATATATATAGAATATATATATAATATTCTATGTGTGTGTGTGCATGCTCAGCCACGTCCAACTCTTTGCGACCATAGGGACTATAGCTTGCCAGGCTCCTCTGTCCATGGGATTTTCCAGGCAAAGAATACTGGAGTGGGTTGCCATTTCCTTCTCCAGGGAATCTTCCTGACCCGGGGATTGAACCTGCGTCTCCTGAGGCTCCCACATTGGCAAGCAGATTCTTTACCATTGACACTGAGCTATCTGGGAAGCCCATATGTATGTGTGTGTTTCCTCAATTTAAAAATTTTAATTTAAAAGTTCTTCAAACAGCTGAAGAACTGTCTTAGAGAAGACAAATATCTCATGGAAGACACAAAATTCTGTTTGGTCCGGAGGGAGGATCCCAAACAGTAAAATCCCCTGATCAGCACAAAGAAGAACTGTCAACAGCAACAAGGCTTCTCCTAGCACAGAGCATGAGAAATGGAAGGTGCTCAATAAATAACTACATGGATGAATGAATGGAAAGACAAATTAATGAATGAAACAATCAATGAAATGAATGTGGACTATGAAATAAATTGACCAATATGTAATCTCAATTCTACCATCACTGCCTCTATGATTTCAAGCAAATTTCTTACTGAGCTTCATTTTCCTCATCACTGAAGTAGAGATAATTTCTTCTCTGAAGGATGATTATAAGGACTAAACCAAAGAAAACAATCTTCAACTTTCATACTCGTTGACCTGACCTATTTCCACTTTGGGGAATTTATCTTACAGATACTCCCTCAGTTGGATGAAAGATATGCATTCCATGAGTGATAAACTGTTATCATCATCACATCACCATCATCACCACCACCATCATCTCCATTGTTGTCATCATCGACATCAATATCATCTTCAACATGACTGCCATCGTCTTCATTAACAACATCCCCAAGAAGGCCGCCTTGGGAAATTGTGTTCCCACAGATGCTGGGCAGCCCCCTGTCTGAGACACAGGAGAGACAAAGGACCCCAGGGCTGGAAGCGTGGGCAAGACGGCCTCTGAGGTCTCTTTGAAACCCAGGTTCTGGAGGAGTCACTCTCTTGTCCTCGTGGGCCCTAAGCCGGTCAGGGGGTAGACCAGCGCACCAGGCTCAGCCTGTACCCTCAGAGCATCAGGAGAGCTGCTCTGCTTCCTCTGGCTGTTGGTGAATTTCGGGGTAGCCTGGAGGCGACCCGAGGAAGAGAGAAGGAAACCTAAGCCTTTCTCCTCCTCCGTATTCTTCTTCCCCATCACACTCAGCAAGATTCTCCACATAATGGCGGAACCCAGTGCTCAAAGGGCGTAGGGAACACATTGTTCCAAAGCTGAGAGGGTAACCGTGACAGTGCAGGCAAAGCTCGGAATGTGACTGCGGTCAGAGCCATCCACATTTATCATCCCGTCCTGCGGCTGACCGCAAAGCCAGTGGGTCCGTGTCTGTTAGGAGTGTCACCGGGGCCCTCACCTTGGCCTGCTCTTCTCCAGCTATTTTTAGCTCAGTCAAGATGGGGCAGTACAAGGGCAAGGACCAGTCAAACCAGCAAGATTCAAATCCCAACTCTGCTACTTAATAGATGTGTGATCTTAGGCATGTTATTTAGCTTCATTGTGCCTCACTTGACGCATCTGAAAAAGAAGGTTTTGAGAATCCAACCCACATCGTTGGGTTGTTGTGAAGATGAAACCAGTCCAGGTGAGTAAAGTGTTCAGCATGGTGCCTGATGCTTTAAATCCATGATTCTGTTGAACAGCATCCTGACCGGAAGTGGGGACTTGTCTTGGGAATGGTTGAAGCTCTTGTCCTTCCTGCCTGTGACTTTGCTGAAATCACTTTTCTTGGAGCCTCTGTCGTTACCCTGAGACTAATCACACCTGCCTGGACTGTGCTTAGGGATCTCGAGGATTAAAAGTGAGAATGGAAGTGAAAATGCTTTGAGAAGGATAAAGAGAAGAGGGAAGCCAGTCACACAGAGGCAGGCAGAGCCCATGAACAGAAGCGGACACCGTGGAAGTTATGAAAGGTTCTTGAATGTTCTCACCAGCAGTTGTGCTGGCCAGGGTGAATCACCCCAAAGCTAAGAGTACTTACCAAGAGTGCTGCCCTAACACCTAGCCTCAATGCTCCTCCCTGCCACTGGACAGTCAGAGCTTGGACCACACGTCCTGAGAAAAGACTGCAATGCTTCACTCATTCTGGGCTCCTCCTCCCTCCCCACAACCCCCGCCTCCACCCCAGGAGCTGCCTGGGACACGGAGCCGGGAAAGGGGCCCCAGGAGAGCCACAGCTTTCATGGTGCCCCGGTGGTGACCTCCTTCTCTAAGTGTGGGTCTGCGCTGGGAGTGGGGTGAGGAGTCAGAAAAATAAAGGGGGGCCCACCCACACGGAGGTCAGGTTTGGCTGGGTAACAAGCTCTACAGATGTGGTGTAATCAAGGAACTCCCAGCAGACGGGGATTAGGAGGAGCAGAAGCCCATGGCAGGCACAAAACATGCATTCAGTACTTCTTTGGTGAATGAATGGGTGAATCTGGTGCTTACAGGGGGTAGTGAGCCAGTTTAGAGGAAACACTGAGAATTTAATGTCTTCAGGGACCCGGTAGGCAACACTGATGCGTGAAACCCAGGTGGCACAATGGTTAAAAAAAAAAATCTGCTTGCCAGTGCAGGAGATGCAAGAGAGGTGGGTTAGATCCCTGGGTCAGGAATATCTCCCAGATAAGGAAATGGAGCCCACTCCAACATTCTTGCCTAGAACATTCCATGGACAGAGGAACCTGGCAAGCTACAGTCCATGGGGTTGCAAAAAATCAGACACGCCTGAGCAAACACACACACACACACACACACACGAGTGATAAAGTCCACTGCATAGAGGCGTTCACAGTCAAACATTTTTTTAAATTGTAAAAGCAAAGCAAAACAAAAAACAAAAAAACACCAAAGCAAACAAAAGCCCCCTTTAAGCCAAAACTGGCTCCTGGGTCCCTAGTTCACCCCTTCTCTGGTTTACTTGACGTGAAGGTACAGTATTTCGAAGCAGCTGCCTCGCACCCCGGAGGAAAGCAAGGTTAAAGGCTAGGGCCCTGGGCCCAAAGCACCAACTGCGCTCCCCGAGGACTACAACATCGCCCAGCAGAGCCCCAGGGCCTCCTCTGCGCTGGCCACAGCGGGCAGCAGCTCCGAGCCCCTGCCGAGCACGTGATGAGCTCCCAGGTCTCCTCCCGCAGTTCCTTCACGGCCTCACGCAGCCGCTCCGCGGAAAGCAGGCTGGAGCGTGGCTCCCGCAAGGCCCAGGAGCTGGAGAGGGTGGGCGCTTCTGTTCTCGTCTGTTCTGTGCCACTGCGACCCTGTGACCCTCAGTACAGGGGCGCCCTTGTGTACCCCCAGGAGGATGCAGTACAGACCCAACAGGATAGTCCACGGGAAAGGGGTCAAATCGGAACCTTACACTCCTCTCTCGAAGCAAGGGATAGGATCGGATGGGCCCCTCTGCCCCCGCCCGGCCGCCCACCCCGCAGCCAGGACCCGGCAGACCTCTGGCCTTGTAGTACTCGTGTTCCAGCTCCTCCTCGTCGTCTCCTGAGGCGTAGTTCAGCAGTTCCTGCTCATACAGGGCTAGAAAGTCAATGTCTTTCTTCCTCCTCTTTTTCTTCTGGGGCATCATTGTGCCAGCTGCCCCTTCCTGGCCCTCCCTGGCTCAGCGTGCCCACTCCCCGGCCCCTCCTGGGACCTCCCTCTCCTTGTGCTCCTGCGCGCGTGTGTACGTTCGGGTGGGTCAAAGCCCACACGTGTCCAGAGCCCTCCTGCTCCTTTCTCCTCGCTGGCCCCTGAGCAGGACCTCGGGGCTTTATCCCAGCCCTTCCTGCCCCCGGACCCTGTCTCTGGCTCCCTCTCCCACTCCACCTCCTTTGCACCTGACCGTGGGCTCTCCTTGGGCCTCATGACTTATTCACGGGGACCGAGGACAGGCTGTCCTCCTTACCCCTCCTCTCCCTGCCTGCCCCCCTCTCTTCCTTTCATGGAGAATCAGGTGACATGAGCCCTTGGCATCTGTTTCCTACCTGGCCTCACAGCAGGGCCCCCCCTCACTCCAGGGACAGGTGGGGCCTCCGCCCTAAAGATGCCCCAGCCTCACAGCCTCAAGGGCTGTGAAAAGATGCCCCCAGGACCTGGGGCCTTCCTGAGGCACCCAGGGCCCCAAATCAGCCAGGCCCCCGGACTCAGAGGACTCAGTTTCTCTCTATTATTTATGACCTCTGCTCACCTTACGAGGCAGGCAAGGTTCTAACTGGGTCCTTCTCAACCTCTCCGCTTCCATCTCCCTGAGACTCTGCAAGAGGCCATTCAGCCAGGAGAGAGCTGCTGCTCTGACGAACACTCAGACCACCCGCAAGGTGCTTCCTGAGTCCTGAGTTCCTGCAGCTGGAGCCAAGGATGCTGGGGAAGCCCACAGAGTCCTAGGTGACCCCACTGCTCCCCAACAGGCCAGAAAATTTAACCAGCATCTTTTCTAACAAGAGCTTTCCATTTGCCCGTATTGCCCTCTGCGCTTTGCAGTGAAACAGTAGAAACCCTGAGCACCCACCCAAATGCCCGCCCCACTCAGCCCTTGCCTTCCCTGCAGCCCCATGTGGGGATTCTGAGTCAGCGCAAGAGGACCAGAGGCCCCTCCCCACCCTTGGTCAGCAAGAAAATTTTCCTTAAGGGCCACTAGACTCCTCTTCCTTGCTGATTTTATTAAGATTTTATTAAGATTTCTTACAGCCTGAATTGTAAAGTGTCTTCGTAAATCCTGAAATGCTAGAAGTTTTCAGTCCACTGGGAACTTCCATCCCTTTCTCTGGCTGTGTGAGGTCATCAGATAAAACTGAGGTCATCAAACAAAACTGGTCTCCCTACCACCTCCTGGCTGTGCGGCTTCGACAAGCGGGTATCCCCATCTGTAAAACAGGGACCATGTCTCATTAAAATCTATCGAACACTTGGAGAAAGTGCTCAGTCAGCAGAAGCCTCTGGAACACAGTAGAAGCTTAATAAACATTCATGACTCAGGAATTCTCTCTTATTTTGCATGGCAGGAGTGGGGGTGGGGAGTGGGGGTTTCAGTAATGCTTCGTTATCATCTCAGATTGTCCCAGAAGCTCTCCTTCAGGTCCCGTATGCAAGGATGAACCCCGGTGTCGTCCTTCCTCTGTGGGTCCCGGCCCACAGTAACACATCAGAGACACTAACGAACAGATGAAACAGCCGGTTTCCTGAAGACTGTCCTGCAAGGCCCTGTCTACTTGATGTCCCTCCCCTGCCCCTCCCAGCCTTGAGCTCTGTGGGGGCAGGGTTCATGCCCCCTTGCTCACTGTTAGGCTCCCAGTACCTACAAGATGCCTGGCACACTACCGGCTTTGGTACCCGCTTGCTCAGTGAATGAATGGATGTTCAGTGCATGAATGGACAAGTGGCAGGCAGATCTACAAAGCAGCTATGAGGAAAACCGAATAGGCTGAAAAGAAAACACACTTTACATGACATATTTGTAAAGTGGGTGTTCCAGAACCAGTACTATTCTTTGAGAGCACGTTTGGCCTGGAGAAGAGGACATTTTGAGTGTCTACAAATGTAGACTAAGGCTGAAATGGCAGTCTTACAACTGCGGGTGGTGATTAAAGGCAGGTTTCAACTCAATCCAGAAAGAAGGATGGGACGCTGAGTGCGGCCTGGGGCGACAGTGTCACAGAGATGTGAGGGCAGGCTGGCATTGCTTGTCTACTGACAGCAGGGGGCACACCAGGAGCCTTTGGGGGTTTGGGCTGGCAGACTCTCAGCCCAGTAGCTGCAATGTTCTATGACCCGGAGTGGCAGGTGCCCGTGGGTGTGGAGGAGCCATGACAGGCCACCCAGCTAGGTTTAATAGGCTTCCAGCCCGGGGGCGCTCAGCCCCCACGGCACGCTGGAGTCACCTGGAGAGTTTTTAAAGACTGCTGCTTGGTTGCCCCAGAGCCCCTGATTTACTCAGCCTGGGGCAGAGCCTGGGCAGTCAAGTCCTCAAAGCTCCTGGGTGACGCAGGACATCCGACGGCAGTCAGTACACACATCCCTAACCAGATCCTGGGACAGCTTTGTGCTTTGGAGCCACCCAAGTAACTCAAGGGGACTTTCCAGGTGGTCCAGTGGTTAAGACTCTGGGCCTCCAACTCAAAGAATACAGGTTCCATTCCTAGTTGGGGAGCTAAGATCCCACATGTGCTGCAGTGGTCAAAAGTAAATGAATAAATGCTTGTTTCCCTGGTGGCTCAGCTGGTAAAGAGTCCGCCTGCAATGTGGGAGACCTGGGTTCCATCCCTGGGTCGGGAAGATCCCCTGGAGGAGGGCATGGCAACCCACTCCATTATTCTTGCCTGGAGGATCCAAGTGGACAGAGGAGCCTGGTGGGCTACAGTTCATGGAATTCCAAAGAGTTGGACACGACTGATCAATTAAGCACGCACACACACACACAAGCGGCTCACGTGGTAAATAATCCACCTGCCAAGCAAGAGACGCAGGTTAGATCCCTGGGTGGGGAAGATCCCCTGGAGGAGGAAATAGCAACCCATTCCAGTATTAATGCCTGGAAAATCCCATGGACAGAGGAGCCTAGTGGGCTACAGTCTATGTGGGGTTGCAAAAGAGTCAGACACAACTTAGCGACTGAACAACACGTCCTTACCACAGGAAGGCATCTCTGGCCCTAAACATTATCACTCAAGAAAGATCAACTTTTCTTCCACCTTAGTTCTGCTGGAGGACGGCCCTAGAGTCACCTCAAAATCTGAATGAGAAAGAGGAGTAGAGTTTAAGTGTAGGTGACGCACGCCCCCTGCTGACACTGTGTGGTTTGACCTCTGTTGTTAATTTCATATTGGGTTCTTTAGGAGGTCTTTGGGACCTTAAAGATTACTGGGAAATTACTAGGGAAATATCATTTTGCATGAGGATCCATTCAGAGAAAAAAAAATGAAACCAAGTGTTCATTTTGCATGAGGGCCCATTCAAGAAAAAATAAATTTTTATTGGAATTTTTTTCAAAAAACTGAAATCAAATATTTTTAGAGCATCCCATGTCCCTAGAACATAATGACTAAGGGAGTAGAATCTGAAACAATACCAAGTGTTGATGGGAATGTGGAGCACCTGGAACTCTCACGCTGCTGGTGGCAGTGTGAAATGATACCATCCCTTTGCAAAAGAGTTTGACACTTTTTTGTAAAGACACTTCCCACACAACCCAAAATTTCCACTTATGGATATCTACCTAAAAGAAGTGAAAATATATGTCCAAACAAGCTGCATTTGAACATTCAAAGAAGCTTTATTGATAATAATAATTAGAAACAACTCAGATGCCCATTACCTGGCCAAGACTATTCAGCCATTAAAATAAAGGAAGACGAGGTGACACATGCCGCAATATGGATGAGTCTCGAAAGCATTATTCAGAGTGAAAGAAACCAGTCAGAATAAACTACATGCTGTCTGATCATTTGCACTCAACCTTCTAGAAGTGGTGAAACTAGCCCCGTGGTTGTAGGGGGCAGGCATGAAGGGAAGGCATTGACTGGAAGGGAGGATGAGGAGGCAGTGTTTGGCTTCAGACTCCACTGTATCTCTCACCGGCTAGCCTTGTCTGCTGTCTTCCACTATGAAAGCCTATGTGGTGCAGTTTTGGCTACTGACTCAACGCCAGGCCCTTTGGTGGAAGGACCTGCACGTGATTGATGGAAAAAGTGCTCAGGGCATGATGTGCAGACTCCCCTTCCATCCCAGGCAGAGCCAGGGTCAGTGCCAGCCACCTCCTCCAACCTAGGCTTAGCATGAGGCCCTGAACATGAGGTCTTGTACATCCGCACTCTAATTCAGAAAGCTGACACGCAGGGCAGACAGGGTGATTGTTGGGACTTCTGATTAAAGTGTGCTAGTCACTCAGTCGTGCCCGACTCTTTGCAGCCCACCAGTCTCCTCTGTCCATGGGATTTTCCAGGCAAGGATACTGGAGTGGGTTGCCATTTCCTTCTCCATCTGAATAAAGTAGGTGCCTGTTTATCCCATTGACCACTGGCACGTGTGCACAAATGATGCTTGAACACACATGCTCTCACACAAGCAAAATGATCTCATTGCTCCAGGTGCCTCTCCTTTCAAGTATATCCCCCTGCTGGCTGAATCAATTTTAAAGCTTGTCTTTGGTCAGGTCACTGTCCAGTTCAAAAACCTCAGTTACATCTGAGTGCAGCCAAATTTAATCAGCCAGGATGCAGGACTGCAATCAATAGAAACCAAATTAAACACTGGCTAGTTTAAGTTGAAAAAATTATTTATGTGAAAGTAAAAGGGGGTGGAGGAGTTTCAGGATTTTCCAGAGGGCTAAGACCCATGCTTAGGGGCTGCACCCTGGAAGGATGCCTGAGGTCATGTGGCGGGGTAAGGACCCCACTGCCACTGATGCTGGGCCAGAATGGACGCTGCCATCTTGTGCCAATTCAGAGTCTGGGGCTTGTGCATCTGATGGGCTGAGCCTAAGTGTGTGCCCACACCTTGCTGGAAAGGAGGCTGGGAAAATGAGGATTTGGCATTTTCAACTCTTCCACTGGGAGCTGTGCTCTCCTCAAACTTTGGAAGGGCATTCAGATG